GGAGAGAAAAAGAGAGAGAGAAGCATCGTACCATCATCCACCATATTCCTCGTTTTGGATGCATCCAAAATATCGTATTAAAAAGTCGATTTAGTGTCTTATTCCTCTGTCGGTTTCAGAGTGCGGATCAATTTACAGTTCATTCTTAAAATTCTTTTTCGGAAATTGAGGCCTTGACCAACCATCCAATGTTCTTTTGTTCATGAGTGCCAGCTCAATTCAATTAGTGTCACTTTGTAGTACCAATCCACTTCGCCTTGTGGTTTGTCCTTCCGTCGCCACATCCAATTTTGCCCAATCATGCAATTGTTTCTTTCAGCCGCGCTACCTTAATTTAGATTTCGTCACATTGGAGCACCCATCGGCATCGCCTTTCGGGTTTTCCCTCCCTCGACACGTTCAAATGTTTCATTGTATAGGCTAATGCAATAGGAACCGAATGTATGAATGTTCGTGCAGACGGGGAGCTTTGATGGACCAAAGAATTGACAACATTCAACGTCGGAAACAAAAAGCACCGAGTGCGGAGGGCCAAAGGAGCCATCAAATGTAGAAAGAGGTCCGTGTGTTGTATTTTGTTGTCTGTGATGCCTCACAATATTCAAAGTAAAAATGCATAGACGAGTGCAGACGACGGGGGAGAGTCGGGAGAGAGGCAAAGAAGTATAGGTAGTTGGAGTTCGGATGCATCCGAGTACGCGGGCAGAATATCATACCACACAAGACACGAAATGACGAAAGCGAGAAAGTCAATCACGAAACAGGCGCCCCAACAACGGGGACGTTCGTGATAATAGAAAGTCAATGAGAAATAACAACATTGTCGACCACAAACACGCCGGGAACGTGACAATTCCACCCGGAGATATCCTTGCAATGACAGCCAGTTCTGCTGTGAACCAACCCGAGAACACCTACCAGTGTGCAACGGAGAAAATGAAAAGGAACAAATTTCATCCGGAGAAGAACGAAATGTTCTTCTACGTCAACCCTTCTACACCAAATGATCAAGAAATAGGTAGACGCTAACCTACCAGCATTCCAAATCACTAAAGCTAGTCTAGCTCTCATAGAGGAGATGTGTCTATGGGAGAGACCAAAAGGTGGACGTAAACCTCTCGCCGAACATGAAGCGAACATCAACATGAATACCCCACAACTAGCCCTGCCGTGCTGCCGAGGGACACTTTACACGCGTACCTCACGCGCGAAGTGGTCGAAAGTGCGACCATCACCGGCGGCACCTGCCACCGTGTCCAAAAATTCAACAGTTTTATCTAAAAGTTTGGAATAGAAGTCATCTTTGGATGACGAACACGAGAAAGAATTATAGATTTCCAAAACACGTCGAGAGAAGTTAATGGCCAAAAGACTCCAGTGTTCGCCGTCCTTGTGCACTGGTGCCAAGACGCGGTCATTAGACAGGAGGTCGATATCTTAAGCCCATCTGCTAACAGCTGTCGGACCTCGCAGAAGCAGTGTAGAGGCGAAGAAAGAGTTAAAGGTGTACGTCTTCATGGTTGCGGCAGTCCGTCCGTAGTCGTCTAGTAGCACCGCCATGTAGAAATTCACAACCTCATCGTTGATCTCCCCGGATCCATGCACGAGTGCGGCGATGTCCCTGACGGAGACCTGTAAATTGTGCGACGGCAAGCGCGCGACGATGATAGTGGGCGGCAACCGGGAGCAGATAATGTCTTCAAGGAGTGCTCTTCCATCTCGAGGAAACCCTGTTCAACAAACACCCGCAGCACACAGCAAGCACAAAGGACAGGGTACTATGAGAAAATGCCGTCCTATCGGCCATGGTCCGACGAACAGCTACTCTGCGGGCCGAAAAGTTCACGCATAATGTCACCCCTACTTCTGGACCTTCTACACATAGTTGATTCTAAACTAGCACTGTCCTTCTGTATATCCTTGCAAGCTTCGAGAAGGAATTCCTTGCAGTCTTTTTCGGTAACACCCACTGCCTCTACAACGAGTTTTGCGCGAGGGCCCACTATGGGCACACCTACCCTTCCGGGAGGGCCCCGAGGCTTAGTGTCCCCAGGGAACGAATTATTGACCGCSACGACCAGTGCGTCCCGCAACCAGGTCTGACAACCTGGCGAGGACATGCGGCTCCTGCGACATGTGTGTTTGTCCACGAGTTCGTCGACCTGTACAAGAAATAGCCACCGAGAAAGTTCACCCGGAGATTAACAACACAACTTCGCAAGGGCAACCAAGCAAACAGCACCTCACGAACCCTATCGTCACAGTCCAGTTGGCGGCTGCCTATATAACTCCCCGAAAGCGACGAAGTAAACAACACTTCACGAGCAGGCTGACGAGCGGGAAGCGAGTAGAGGAAGTCAGTGCTTACCAAAGTTAGCTTCCACGTCACTAGAGCCCACCGTTGGCAGTCCCAGCACGATTGGCGCCTCTGTGCGCGTCGACGCGGCGACGATATGCTCCAAACCCTTAGGGAAACTTGACAGGTTTGAGATGTCGGCATCGATGATCGGAGATGACATAAATTCATCCCCACCAGTTAGCGGAAATCCTCCACGTCCGCGTCGGTCAATTTTATTCTGCCCGTCTCGGGACAAAGAGCGTCGACGTCCACAACATCGACATGTTGTATTTTCTCCAGCGCCACTGTGTCGTATTGTGTTGGGCTCAAGGTGTCATGGATGTCCAACAACACCTCTCCCCCTTTTACTTCTTGTCCTCGTGCGCAGTGTCTTTGTCGTCGTCACTCAAATAAAACAAGCGATCCCCAATAGCGTCAGAGGCCTTCTTAAGTACGTCCTCTCCCATCGCCTCGTCGTGAAGGCCGGAGGACAAATGGTCATCGTATCCCGGCTCAACTCCTTGCTCCAACCCGAGCGTCGGATCAATCTGATCGATGGCGAAATGTGTCGGCGAGGTCCTGTCAGCTTTATTTAAAGTCATCACATGTCCACAACCCTCAACGCCTGCCAGTTCAAGTTCTGCGTCCGTGTGTCTCGGATGCATCCGAATCACGGTCGTCTGCAAATGCCTCATGGAGGGACATGTTCACAATGCCCTTGTTCGGATTCATCCGAGCCCCCGCAGTTTCTAACGGCGCCGACATGTCCGCTTTCACCGGAGAGTCGCTTAAGACTGGTAAAGATGCGCGTACCGTCACCAGACATTCGTCTCCGAGTGTGCGGGACTCGACATTGAAACTGGTCGCTAACTCACCGTCAGTTGGACAGTCTGCCTGCAGCTCCCTGTGGACTTCCACGCACAGCATTACGGCATCCTTACACCTATCGTCTGTCATGCCAGACACGTCCTCCTGGTTCGGATGAATCCGAATTTCGCCGCCAGGGTTTTCGACACCAGTGGTTAACGGGGTAAACTGTTTTCATTGCTAAAATCAGTTTTTTTTTGCCCAAATTTAGATTTTTTTGTGATTTTTTCTTTTTGGCTGTTTGAATTGAGTTTAGTGACCATTTCTCACTGTTCTGAAGTGTAAATGTCCATTGGAATTGTCTGTTGTGACCATTTTCAATAAACGCTGAAAATTCTAAAAATTCGCTGAAAGCCAAATTTCATTCAAGTGCATTTTTGCCTTACCGTTTCACCCTGGTTTTTTTTTTTTTTTCGTTCTTTTTTTAATGGTTTGTTAATATGGTGTGCACTCTATGGAATGATGCAATTTCTGGTTAAAAAGGCCTTCTGTTTTTCTTATAAATAGCATTAAAAAAACGCCAAAATTTTGGGTCTCCGTTAACCGCCGCTCGTTTTCAGAAACCCGGACCACCGGTTCGAGTTCCGTAGACCGTTGTGCTCTCTCGACGGTACTAGCTTCCAGGTTTGGATTAATCCTAACTTCCTTTAGCGGCAAAACGAAATATGTTTCCAGCTTGTCGCTGTCGATCCCGTGGTATACTGTCGTCTCGCTTCCCGCAAGGCACTGAGTTTCGGACAATGACGTCGTCTCCGTGGTTCGGATTAATTCGGGACAATCCGCCAATCGTGTTTGGAGCTGAGGGAAGCAAGTTCCACCCTTTGCAACAACCGCCCCACCAACCGCATCGACAAACTGTGTTGCGCTGGTGGAGCTAATCACAGGGTCCTGCTCGCCAGACCGCGTAATCCACCGAGGCCTAAAGTCGTTCCCCATTTCCATTGACGTGCTACTTGTTACCGCCAAAACCCCACCGTCCTCGTCGTCGTCGACATCGGACCCTGCCCGTCTCCTCTGTTGTGCTTTGTCTTCTCTCTGCTGTGAGGCTTTTTCTTCTCTCCGCTGCCCTTTTTCCCCTCTCCGCCGCCCTCGTGCCCCGGAGACCGCTGTTTCGTCGAGCGTTGTTCACTCCCCCCTCCGATTCCGCGTTGCCCGCCGCCCTAACCGTCCCCTTCGTCCTCCTTTCCTCGAGACTTGCGCTTCACAACTTCAGACCGCGGGGTGATCCCAGGCAACTCCCAACTTACTTGATTAATTGACGGGCTTGACGGAAGGTTGTAGAACGCGGAGGATACTTCCAGCCATTTATTTGACTGCAAGAATTCGAGCAGCGTGTCCCCGTATGCGCGCAGAGCAGGGTCGTCCTTACGTCGTCGATTGACCTCACTTAATCTTTCCAATACCGCATCGTAGGCATGTGCTTTGAAGGCTTCGAGGTCCCAACGTTCGTCATATACCCACCCTCCACTTACGTCCCTCACAGCCACTGCCCATTCGCCGTCGAGAAGGACTGGCTGGAAATGGTCAGGGTGCCACACGACATCATGGCCCCAATCTTCGGCTGCGGAGAAGGTGTGTTTGTCGCCCATGTGGTAGGGCCTTTCAGGAGCCAAGAGATGTGGATGGTCCTGAGGAACTGGTTGGCCGGGCTTAAGACGTTCGGGCTGCGGTGTAAGACGAAGTGAGTCCCCTGGCGAACTCCTCAGACGGGACAACCCACCCCTTTTGACAGGCGCTGAGGAGGACACGGGCGTGGGACCGCCGGAGGTTGGTGTACCGAGAGGTGTCCCCGGTTTGCATACTGAGGGCGACTCGAAAACTTGGGCGTTGAAGATGGCCAATTGGCCGTCCAAATCGAAGAGGTCGTCCTCAACGCTCTCCTCCTGCTCAGTCTCGATATTGAAGTCATCTTTCTCACCAAATGCCAGCTTGTAGTTTTTCAATGTGAAGTCGTCCGGATCGTCCACACCCTCGTCAAAAAATACATATTCCAGCCTCTTAATGAAGTTCACTGCGCCGACGCGACTCGCCCCGTGGTAGCCCTGGAGGACAACAATGGCGACTTGCTTTCGCATCACGTACTGCTCGTCAAATCTAAACCTTGGTTGATGGCCGACAAGAAAGGAGTACACCTGGCGCCTTTTCTTTGGAGTCAACTTGAAGAACATGTCCTTGTTCATGTCATAAACGGGCTCGACGACGACATGGTGGAAATCGCATGCGAAAGCCCCGGACGAGACTTGATGGGTAACAAACTGCACGGTGTATTCAAGCTGCGTTGTGTCCCCATCCACAGCCAAGACGTGCCTTCCCTGCTGAAGCAGACTCCACACCACCTGCGCGTGCGGCTTGCCCAATGACAGCACGGCATCCGCCAGACCACAGAAGAAAAAAAGCTGATTGCATAACTGATTAGGATTCCGCTCGCCTTCCTTGTACACAACCCCCCTCTGACTGAGGTTCCCAAAGTCCGAGAAAGTCAAGGACTTGAAAGACTTCTCCTCCACATCCGTAGGTGTCACTTTCTGCTTCCTCCGGAGAGCGGCGGCATCGTCTTCGGCAACAGCTCCCTTGTACACTGGGTGAGTTAGTAGCCGCGGCTCCTCGCCTTTTGAAAAGGATGTGCATTACATCCGGCTCCTCCCAGACGCTGTTTCCGAACTGATGCGTCTTCTTCGATGCCGTCTTCCACACCCACTTCCCGTGTAGCCTCGAGTAGCCCCAAGCGCAGACAAAAATGTCATGAAGGAGAGGTTCCACACGCAGGGAACGAATACCACCAATGTCCAGTAGTCCTGACAAACGAAGCCCAGGAATTCACTTAGAGACGCGAATGCCCCAGAGTCCCAGCGCGCCCGGTCCACAGTTCCGCACAAGTCAAGCACGCAAGTGTGGGAGCGTAGCTGATGCCCTAGTTTTCCCAGCGTGTCCTTATGATCTATAGCACTCAACGGATCGACGACAAAGTGAGCCAGCGTCGTCAAGGCGCCTGTGTTCGTCCACAAGATGTTCATGCATTAATCAATGCCTCGAGGGTCTGTCTTGCTGTTGGCGCGATCTTCAGTGATCACCGAAAGGACGACACGTTTCCACTCCGCCGGGAAATACTGGTCGTTAGCGAGGGCCGCCGTTTTCTTGATGTTGATGTCGTGTTGACACCCGAGAAACTGAGGGCACTTGTTGACGTACGCTATGTCCGTGAAAAAATTCCTGCTCTCGTTCCAAAGCTTGTCGTCGAGACCTTTGTCCTTGAACTCTTTCAACAATTGCCTCTTGGACCTGAAGAACGTGGATTTGACATTCCACTCCTGCTTTTCCATTTCCTCGTGCTCAAACTCCACGTAGTGCCACAGCCTCAGCATAATCCGGTCAATTTTTATTATGTCGACCATCTCTTTCACAATGAACTTCCCCTGCTCGGCCAACTTTTTGCTACTTGTTTGAACCCACATGACGTTAAGGTTCTAGACGCCATTCAACAACCTTCTCTTCTCGCGGTCCGTCAAGTCTGCCAATTCCTTCCAGCAGTGGACATCCGGCTCAGGTATTTGGACGTAGTAAGTTTTCTCCTCCACGCCTTTTTTTGCCTTCCCCCTGCCCTTTTTCAACAACGGGTCGTCCACCTTCACATACCAGACGTGTTTCTTCAGTCCCTGGCTGTTAGTCACAGTGGAGAGTCCTGGCTTAGCCACCTCCTCATGGGTGGGCGGCTTTTCAGTCCAACGTCGACCGTCGGAAGCAAGGAGTTTCCCTCTTGACCATTCGTCGTAGAACTTCTCCCCCAAAGCGAAGACGGAGTCATCTGCCATAGCCAGCGGGAGGTAGTATCGAAGTTTCTCAGCCCATTCCTTTTTCTTATTTTCTTCTGTTGACAGGTTCCACAAAGGCGTGTACGGTGTCTTCTTCATTGCCAACGCCATGAACTGCACCCACGTACGTACCTCCTCCTTTTTCTTCGACGTGTTGTTGAGCACTACACGCGGTTTCCCCTTTATTTTCCAGATATTGCGAATGTCCCGCATAGACAAAATCTGCAAGCGCGGTGGATTCTTCTTGTCTTTCATGTTGTCTTCGGAGCTGACATGGGCGTAGCCATCGAACTCGTCGTCAGGGAAGTAAATCGGCCTGAACGGACATTCACAGAAGTTGTAGTAGTTGAACACGGGATGGTCTTTGACCTTCATCGCCGCCCTTGCGTTATGCTGTCCACATACAGGATAATACCAGTATTTCTCGGGGTGTGAGCCGTCGAAGTCACCAGGCAGCACGCGCACAGCAGGTTTGTCCTTCTCCGGATGCGCAACGATCGGGGCGAGAACGAAAATCGGCTTCGTGTATCTCATGTCTTTACGATTATAGCAGTCGATCATAGCGGACGCGATGGTGTCAACGAGGAACTCGTCCAAGGATCAGTGGTTGTACGCGTCGTCCCAGTCTGGAATAGGCAATATTCTTTCGGGATGGATGTGCAACACGACGTCCCTCTGCACCCCTGTCTTCATCTCGAGGAAGAACGCATTGTCGAGGTTAAAGGCGTTGAGGTTAATATCCACATCGTCATCCCCCTCCCCGCTCTCGCCCTCATCTGCTTTCTTCTCACTCGACGATTTCGACCTTTTCCCAGAAGACTCACCCGTTCTTCGCCGTGTCAATGAGTCTTTTGGCGTTTCATCCCCACCTCCGACCCTTTTCCTCTTCTCAACGGAACCACCCTCTCGTGACATTGGCGTCAGAGCACTCCCTTTTTCCTTTCTCTGCCTTTTCAGAGCATCTACTCCCTCTCGCTCTTCCTCAACAGGCAAGTTGCGCTTGCCTCCCGATTGAGTCATTTCAGGCGTTTTCTCTCGAAAAAAACCCATCTCGAACACCTCCTCCTCACCGGCGACGTTCCCACCCGCTTCTCGTTGTAGGCTCGCCTCCGTGTGCAGTTGTGCTGGCGCAGGGCGGGCCCAGCGAGTCGTCTCATCTGCCCCACGCACCTCTCGAACCTGCGAGCTACCTGCGCGATCGCCCGACGAAACCTCGGCCACCTTCCTGCCACGGACGAACTCACCGATCTTTTCGACCAGACGACGAGGAGTCGTCGATCCTGAGGCCTGTTGCAACTGTTTGCCAACGCCGCCTCCATGTGGCGTCGCCTCCCCAAATAAACCTTGGCGGCGAGATCTCTGCAAACCTGGTTTCAATGGAGCACGCAGATGGTCGTCCTCAGAGTCGTCTAACATGCCCACCTCTTTATCAGGAGGCGAAGTCGGCAGTCCACCCTGACCCCCCGTGCACCTTTTAAAACATTCTCCTCCCGCGAACCTAACAGGACCACTGATCGATGTCCCAGTACCGACGTCCATGGCACTGCCAGAGGGAACTGAACTCGCCCAAGTCTCGAGGAAGTCTGTCACGTGAACGGCTTCATCGTGTCCTGGTGCTAGCGGGACAAAGAAGGGCAAAGGCATCGCACCCCGGTCGTACCCGCCGAACATCTTCCCGACAACCTTGCATCCTTTTGCGTTTTCGTCGACGGAACCATCACTTCTGTGAAGCTTTCACAAGGTAAACCTGAAATTGTAGTCGCCTTCGTCGAGCCACTCGACAATGGACCCTGCGAGACGCGTCGTATCTTCGTGACCAGTGACGAACAACACCGGCCCGCACGGTGGTTTCAACGGGTCGGAGCCATCCTAGCTCGCCTAGTCCAAATACCAGACACGCCTGCTGTAGTTGCACCACAAGTTTTGAGTCCGTCGTTCTTCCTCCCCACCGTCACCTCCTCGACTAGTTTCCCTTGCCGGTAACGACGTCGTCCCTCGACGTTCCTCCCCACGCGGGGCGGAACCACCAGCGGAACGGGTTACTCCGTGAGTAGCCATACCCTGAAACACGCGGAGGAAATGAACGCACATGCACTCAGAACACTCAGCACGTCGCAACATCAACCTCGACCCACAGCACGTATTTAGTTCACGAGCTACCGGGACCCGAAAAATATGAAGTTCAGTGAGAGTTAGACGGCAGTGGTGTACACGTCTGGTCGAAAAGGAGGGCAACTGCACGCATCGGATGAATCCGAGGCATTGTAAAGCCTCGTTATCACACTGCCCTTCAGAGAACGAATGGTCGGACACGAAGAACGCGGGGCAGTTCGGATACATCCGAACTAGGCATAGTCGAAAGATCGATGTCTTAAATCGTTGCCAGTAATAGGTACCTGGTTCGGGAGAAGCGAGATCGTGCTTGAAGGCCCTAGAAGGTTGATAGAGCAGACGAAGATGTGCACCCCATTGTGATACGGATTCATCCGAAGTCGACAAGCGGATTGTAAAGTTCCTCGGTGTACTTCGGATGCAACCGAGCTCCAAAGTGGTGCGGACTACGTCCTTGTGGTCCGGAATAATCCGAACTAGAGGTTTCCCGTCCTTCCGAGTTGGTGATGGTTGTGACTCGGATGCATCCGAATTCGAACAGTGCGGTCCAGACACGGGCGACCACAAGAGGATGCCATGGATATGGCGTCTTTTCGTCAATGGCCTGTGAGCATAGGGTTAATATTATGTTGCTGGCGGTGCGGTTCGGTTGAACCCAACTATGCCAACGTGGCTCGGATCAATCCGAGACAAGGACTGGTGGATGGACGCCACGGTCTGCTGCAGCCCATCCAACCGTCCAAGCTTTCGTAATTCCATTGCAGTCCTTGGGTCCACCCGAACTTCACAAGGTGTGACCTCTTCCTTGAGAGTTAAGGACGAGTGTGGCTCGGATTTATCCGATCTTGACAGGGGCTGTCCTGATACGTACGACCACCGGAGGCTGTGGCGACACCATGTGCTTTCGTCGTTTAAGTTGATCAGACCGTGCGACATCGTCAATACCCTCTGCGCATGTGACGGATGAATCCGACGCATTGTAAACCCTCATCATCACACTGCCCTTCAGAGAACGAAAGGTCGAGCACGAAGACCGCGGGGCAGTTCGAATACATCCGAACTAGGTATAATCGAAAGATCGACGTCTTAAATCGTTGCCAGTGATAGGTACCTGTGTCGGGAGAAGCAAGATCGCGCTAGAAGGCCCTAGAAGGTTGATGGAGCAGACGAAGATGTGCACACCATTGTGATACGGATTCATCCGAAGTCGACAAGCGGATTGTAAAGTTCCTCGGTGTATTTCGGATGCAACCGAGCTCCAAAGTGGTGAGGACTACGTCCTTGTGGTCTGGATTAATCCGAACTAGAGGTTTCCCGTCCTTCTAAGTTGGTGATGGTTGTGACTCGAATGCATCCGAATTCGAACAGTTCGGTCCTGACACGGCCGACCACAAGAGGATGCCATGGATATGGCGTCTTTTCGCCAATGGCCTGTGAGCATAGGGTGAATCCTATGTTGCTGGTGGTGTGGTTCGGTTGAACCGAAATATGTCATTGTGGCTCGGATTAATCTGAGACAGGGACCGGTCGATGGATGCCACGGTCTGCTGACGCCCATCCAACTGTCCAAGCTTTCGTAATTTCCCTGCTGTCCTTGGGTCCACCCGAACCTTGCAAGGTGTGACCTCGTCCTTGAACGTTAAGGACGGGTGTGGCTCAGATTTATCCGAACTTGACAGGGGCTGTCCTGATACGTACGACCACCAGAGCCTGTGGCAACACCGTGTGCTTTCATCGTTTAAGTTGATCAGACCGTGCGACGTCGTCAAAACCCTCTGCGCATGTGATGGATCCGACCATGCCCTCGCTGTGGTTCGGATTAATCCGAACTTCGCCGAACGGCTACGGTTTGTTGTCGCCCCACCACACACCCGACCTGCCTGCGATAACCAGAGTGTATCGTATTAATCTGTGCATTATTACAGGGGGTGTCGTCTTCCTCGTGAATTTTAGTGGGTTGTGGCTCGGATGCATCCGAAATTAACACGGGTGGCTCGTATACGTTAGCTGTTGAGTGGGAAATACGATAGGAACGGAGTTTTCGATTAGACGTTTTTTTCTCGATTGGCATGTTAATTGATTGGTTGGGTGTTCGACTGGTCTTCGCGCCGGTGTCGAAAAGTCTTCTGGGATGTGCACTATTGGCCGTGCTACCCTTTCTTGGGATAATACAAACAAGCGAGAGCTAAATGATATTTACCTTCATCGATCAAGACTTGCTGACCTCTCGTGTGTCCACGTCAGCGAAGGGTTCCGCTCTTGTTCTCGCGGTTTGATAGGGTTTAAAGATTTGAAGACACAGACAGTCGCTTAATCAAATTTAGGTCGTTCCCCCTTGAGTGCTATCACAGATCAGTAATCCGAAGACTGCTAGCAGTCTTCGGATTTCTGATCTATGATTACACTCAAGGGGGAACGACGTAAATTCGATCAAGTGACTGTCTGTGTCTTCGAATCTTAGAGAACAACAAAATGACATGAAAGCGAGACAGAGAACGATAGAAACGCCGCTAAAGAGAGAGGGCAGAGCGAGAGAGCCTGTTTTTTTCTCTTTGTTTCTCCATGTGCAGATCCTGAAAATCGTGTTGTGCGAATTTTTGAATGGGTCACATTGCGAAACCTGAAAAAGACAAAAAAAAAAATGAAAAAGACTAATAATTAACTTCCTATTGTGCGTATCTTGTCAAACATAAGATAATGCTTCGCTTGAAGACGACGAGCCTTCGT